CCATATTTAAAATATTCTTTTTCTTATAAAATTGATAAGTTCAAGTCTACATCATCAACAGGCATGATGATATTACTATGTTGCATGTCTACATAATTATGTTGAATGTTATTATATTTTATCTTGCATGTACATATAGGGGTCAGAAATATGCCAACATACCATTCTTATTTAACTGCATTGAAGTAAAAATATCTCATTTAATCAAATATTATTTAAGCCATCTCTAAAACTACGTTAATTTTCGTATCATATGGCTTGTATTTGTTCGGAAGATGAATTTCCGTCCTGGTATGAGTTTTGTAGCATTTACCTCAAAATAAGTGTCTGTCTGATAACATTTTTTTTTCAACAATGTGATCGTCAAACTATGAAATCTAAATGATCTTAAATTGATAAAAACATGTTTACCGCAATTCTTTCATTAATGATAGCTCCAACGCTATGTAGCTGATTTCCTGTTTGAATCCCTCTCATATATCATCAGTACAATACGTATCACAATTAATCGTCATTGAATTCCATGAGATTAACATTAAAATTCATATAAAAGGATGGACTGTATTCCGCTCTAAATAAAGAACAACAACGGTTTATTGTAACGGATTTGATTCAAAATGCTTAAAGAAGAATTCATAAAAAATAAAGTAAAGAAATAGTTTCTGAAAATAAAACTTTGTTAACTGAAAAGAATACTTAAAGACATTTTTTCCAATAATAAATTTAAAGCAATAAAGGAATTCTAACATTCTTATGCATATGCTTACCATAAACAATATGTCTGTACACACTCGTACTAAATTTACATTAAATCAGGATAAACTATTAATATATCACACTTCAAGATGTTTTATTTGATATAGGTTTTATATACGTATTATTTGAAATAAGCATTTCAATAAATTAATTTTAATGCATTTCAGTTTGAAGATTCATGAGGACATGAACTACGACGCTTCACGTCGGCATGATAAATTTCCGGCGTGAAGTGTTGTTGTTCATTTAATTCATGTATCTTCAACAATCAAATTCGTTTCTTATTTTTACTTCATTTTCTGATTAGTTACTACAAATAACACATTCATCTGTCATACTGTTGACGTCAGGTACAGTATTATGGCGTAACAATTGCGATATCCATGCATATCCATCGTAGTTCATGAAAAAAAAAATATAATTTGTAAGGAACGTTAAAGAAAAATAAATGGACTTGTAAATATTAAAGAATGATAAAAGGAAAAGAAAATCAAATTTAACTTAGTATCTTAAATTTTTCTGAAAGATTTCAATTGATTTATTTATTGTGTGTTACTTTATAAATTGCTGTAGATGAAATATGGATGTGAAATTCAGACCTGTTACTGCTTGTCCGAAGGATGGTCTAACTTGGCATCAAGCTGCAGGTTGCACAACAGTATTAATTTCTGCTATATATTCTTACCAAAAATGCGCAAGTTTGAGTAGGTGTAATAAATTCAAAACAAACTTCTCAGAAGTTTCCTTTTCAGATCTTGTAAAACCATTCTTTATAAAGATTTTAGTACCAAAAAATACATAGCCATCCAGCAAGGCACGCAAGTTTGTTTCGGTCGAAGTCGAGCAGGTGTTTGAAAATCTAGTCCAGGGCCTAATCACTCCCCACTCTTGACAATATACAGAAAAATCAGCACGCCCTAAATTTTAATAAATCTGGTCAATACAGGAAGTTTACATGTTGATTTTCATCTCATAAAAAAATTCAGCTCCAGTCTCGTATCAAAATGCCTCAATCGGAAGGGAAAATTCCGGGATTATTTTCCGTCAGCCATGATTTGACGTGAACCAAAGTGTAATACTGTTATGACACCTGCAATTAAACTTAAATTTTTTCCTAGCCGGTATATTGCTATTTTCCCGATCTATGATGATTATTTTATGTATTTACCAAGTTTCACAAAACTGCGTCCCAAGATAGGAAAATTACGGGCAAAACACCGTGACAGGGGGCTTCGCGGTGAACACGGATTTCTAAAAATATGGCAAAAGTTGAACTGTATGTAATGATCTTGCGCGTTAAACTTTTGCGGTTTTTCCGTTTTAATTTTTTAATGGGTGCATACTGATTAACATGAGGATGATAAATTGTTCAAAATAAGTTTGCTTTTTATAACAGGGCAAAAGAAATTGTTTTTGTCATAAGGTTGGGGGGTGGGTTTAAAAAGGGCATCGAAAAAATAAATATTATTGAAATAATCAGGTGTTTTCTGCTTAATTAGGATTGATTTGCCTCGATAATTATTTTTTCCGATAATTTCTTTATCTGTTACCAATGTGACAAATAAACCGATGTTTACACATATTCAGAATTTTTATTTTGCTCCGAGTGTGGTCTAAATTTTTTAAATTTGTAGATTTTAAAACTATTTATTAGTATATAATGTTAACGAGTGTGATGGCAAGGTATTTTTTAAGCCGTCCTCCAAATTTCATGCATTTTTCAACCCGATACATCCAAATCAGGCCGTGGTGTGGCCAACATAATTTATTTTAGAGGAAATCTGGACTAATTTTCTTTGCTCCATTAAACACGAACGAACAGCGATGACGGCCGAACAATGCCATTATTTCTCATTTTCCGTCTAAACTCACAAAATAAAACCTTAATTCTTAGACTACAATATTTCTAAGTATAAAATTCGGTTTTACTGCAGGTTGCACAACAGTATTAATTTCTGCTATATATTCTTACCAAAAATGCGCAAGTTTGAGTAGGTGTAATAAATTCAAAACAAACTTCTCAGAAGTTTCCTTTTCAGATCTTGTAAAACCATTCTTTATAAAGATTTTAGTACCAAAAAATACATAGCCATCCAGCAAGACACGCAAGTTTGTTTCGGTCGAAGTCGAGCAGGTGTTTGAAAATCTAGTCCAGGGCCTAATCACTCCCCACTCTTGACAATATACAGAAAAATCAGCACGCCCTAAATTTTAATAAATCTGGTCAATACAGGAAGTTTACATGTTGATTTTCATCTCATAAAAAAATTCAGCTCCAGTCTCGTATCAAAATGCCTCAATCGGAAGGGAAAATTGATGATTATTTTCCGTCAGCCATGATTTGACGTGAACCAAAGTGTAATACTGTTATGACACCTACAATGTTCCAATGATACAATAGGGAGGAATTTGTACCAGTGCGTACCTAATGACGACAGATCATCAACTGTATTGGCAGATTTGGAGCAAGTGAGTCAAAGTTAATTGTAAAAAAAATAATTCTCGAATCATTATTTGTTTTTCTTTTCATTATTTTACACAATTTCTTTATGTTGTGGAACACATCAGAAATAGATAGAATAAAATATAAAGAATGAATCGTTTAAACATCCACATTTGGCTCCCCGATAATCTAAAAAAAATAAGTTTGAAGATTTCCAACATATTTTTGTCTCAATCTTTCCATCAAACAATAATGTTTATTAATTTCATTTTCAATTTTCACTTCCTTGCACTGTAATTGGGTATTTATCTGATTAATAAAGCAGGGGTACGTTGTTCATATCGATTTTATTTTAGGCCACACCCCCACTTTGCAAGCCAATTTTTTATATGAGCGCATAGATGTTTCAAGTTGTAGGAAATAGGGTCAATGTAAAGAGTTAAACTTGTCATTTTAATTCATGAACGAAATTGAAACAGCCGTGCGCTCACATGTTATTTTCCAAAAAGGTGCAAATTCACGTGTATCTATCCCTATAGTAAAGGCACCTTGTTTACAAATTTCAACCCGCCCTTGGCCTCATGAATAACAAAGCATCGAACACGTGACTCAAATCTATTCACTTTCATGCTTTGAGCTCGACATCGTGTCCGGTGTTGCAAGTTATCGATGGTCAAATCATATTCAAATGGGTAATGTACCCTGGAATAATTTTTTTACCGGATTATTTTAATGTGTTAACATTTTTGATTTACTTGTTATTAAACGAAATTTCAGTTGATTATGTTTGATTTGTTTTCGGTATATATCAATATATTTTGGAAGCTTGTTTTACAAACCTAGCACTTACTGCTTGTATCCCATTAATACAGAATTAAAAAAAATACTGTGAATATATATATTATAATTTTTCCTTTGTTCCTAAGTATACATTGTATGTAGTCTATGTACATCACATTGAACAATGGGACGTTAAAAAGACCTGTATATCGGACAAAAAGTCACTAGACGAATACATTGCACAGAATGCACCCCTACTATTGAATAGAAGAAAACTCCGGATTTCTTCTGACGACACAACAAATGTTATATCATTTTGTATCGGCACAGAATCTAACAACAATTAAAGATTTGAATATAATTATTCGTAATAAAATCGAATGAAAAGGGACGTAAAAATTATTTGAAATGATTTATTATTTATTTCAGAACAGTACGAGAGTTTGTAAAAATCAAAATATGTACTCGAGTGGATTTCTACAAATAATAATTCCTAAAAAAGGAAGATCCTGTAAGTTGTCATGTTGTAAATTTTGTATTTACTGCCACCCGGTAAATTCAAAATATACAACATGACAATCATATCACAGTAACTTGTCTGTGCATGGCATGGATTAATAATGCAATCTGGGGACTGTACTTGTCTAACTCTATTTTTTTTTAAATATATTTAGCAGCGATAATATTGACGTTTAATTTTTCACTTTTGTGCGATTTTATTCTTTATGGACAAAAAATCAAACTTTTATACATAATGTTTTATATCATAATTCAACCATTTTTTTGTAGCACACGAATTTTGCAAAGTTATATATGTATATACTATGAAATAATTATTTACGAAACAGTAATAAGCTTAAATGGATCTTCTGTAAGCCCTAGTGGATTAATTATCATCGCTATAAAAAATAAAGTTTTAAAGTATGAAAAAGTGTTTCTTGCGTTATACGCTCTATTCATTAAAGCCATTGTTTATTTTTATATATAAATAATTCGACGAATTTCTGATAAATCATTGCAAATGAAACTCGTAAGTTAAACAGAAAAAATGAAGTTAAGCCTGACAAATGAAAAAAAGAAGATGCTTACAAGAAAAATGGGTTTTTAGGTGTCACTTAGGTGTCACTTAATTATAAAACTTTGTACACTTCGAACACTCTGAATTTAAAAAGGGGCGAGATTGCAGCGTTAAAAGGACTCATTCTTTATGGAGTTTCGATGAGTACTAAATATATTCCTTTATTAACCGAAATGCATTGTTCTTTTTTTTCTAGGAATTGATATTTTAAAAAAAACCATGCGTAAAATGATTCCTTTTTGCTGCTACATATACGTTTGAATGGATTAAACTCAAAATTAACGAGGCCAGGTCTAATTATTTCTGCCCTAGGGATTTTTAATTTTTTTTTATAATTAATTTTTACTGTTATATTTATTGTTTTAGGATTAAAATATCGAATGTTTACCACCCCGTTTTCTGGGTGGTCCATCATAAATGTTTTCAAACTTTACTTTTAGACCCTATGGGAATTTGATGGAAAATCGCCAAAATATTATATGTTTTTAATACTTTTTTTGTATTTCTGCCCTAGGGATTTCTTTTTCATTAAAGAAAATGAAAGTAAATGTAAAAAGTCACCAAATTGTGAAATTTCAATAAAGTTTACCATCTGGATCGGTCTAGGTCGAGGCCAAATACCTCTAAAATTGCCATATTACGGTAAAAATGCATAACTATGGTGACGTTGTTAGAGCCATTTCAACGTTATTCTTCCAATAATTGTAGTAAATTCAATTTTCAGATCAGTAGGAAGTACAAATAATTTTGTATTAAAATTAAAATAATTAATGACTGCATGAAAGTAAAAAGCTGCGCAAAGTGATGCGCACTCGAATTAGAATCGGCCTCCGTAAGATATGCTGACGACAAATTGTATTTATCAGCTATAAATGATTAATGTCCAAGCAGCTTCATATATTGCTCACTCTCATTAATTATAGTTTTTATTATAATAAATGCCTGTGACTGTTTTAGTTAATAATAATTAAAAGAAAACATAAAGATGATAATAATTTTTATCAGATTTTTTCTTTCATTATCGCTTGCAAATGCAATGAATACTAACCAGTTTAGCGAAAAAATAACATGAAATAACGAAAAAAAAACCATTATAATAAGGATATGGAAATAACGAACAGTATTCAATCTCAACGTCCATTAAAAAACAAGAGCAGAGCAAACACGGACCTCCGAAACATCAGAGGTGGGATCATATCTTAACTTAACTGAATTTTGAATATTTCCCAAATTTCTTTAGATACTTGCCCTTTTGCTGTATCTTCAGGACGCTTAGAAGCAATCAGCTGCTCCAATTTTTCTCAAAGGTTGTCCTAAGGAACCTTACGATTCAAATGAAATTTACAAATGTAAGAACTACTCTTTTTCTGATGGAATAGAAACCTAAGTAATGAATGACTGTAGATAAAAAAAAGATATTTGGCATAATGGGAGTCATAACTGTTTCAGATCCAGCCTGCTTGGAAATCAATCCACAAAAACGCTGCTATTTAGCAAATGAAAACTGTTTAAACGAAACGTAAGTACATCTGTACACTTTGTTGTATTCCCCATAAAAATATAAGAAGGATTAAATCAAAGTAATACGTTATTGTGATGGCTGGTTTTATTTATTTAAGGAGCCAAGGAATACCAAATTCAACAATTTTTACTCTACCTAATGACTCCCCATCATATATTACTTCCACAGACAACTTTAATCTCTCTTCGGTGTTACCAAACAGTACTTCTAATTTGCAGCCGGGGATTGAGTCCACACATTTAATTGCTGGAGTAGTTTCATCATTGTCCGCACTTAGTCTAGTAGTTGTTTTCGTGATTGTCCTCTCTTTTTACTGGAAAAAATGTTCTCGGTCTTGGAACACAAGTGAGTTTATTTATACATATATAGTGCATATATCGTTCTGTCGCTGTTTCTTCACAAATGCTGTATATACATTTAGTAGACTAGCTACATCTATATGTAGGGATAATTCAAATCAACCAAATTTAGTACGTTTGTTTACTGCTTACATGTAACTATAGATTTAAATTGCACATGTAAAAAGGATGTGGAGATAACGAACAGTATTCAATCTCAAAGTTCATTAAACAAAATACAAAATAATAGCAGAACAAACACGGTGGGATCAGGTGCCATGGAGGAGTGAGCATCCCTTGCCGACCGGTCACACCCGCTGTGTGCTCATTGTCATGATCAGGAAATAACGGAAATTTACTCTGTAATTTTTTGCTATTCTCAAATTGTAATTGAAGTTCTGAAAACTGTTTCAGTGATAGCCTTTGGGAAGATGTTTACTCCGTAAAATATAAAAGTTTTGTAAACGATTGTTGACGTGGCTTTGAAATACTGAATGTACAATGCACCAATGTGAATTTAGAGAGGAAATTTACTCTGTAGATTTTTTGCTGTTTTGAAAGTGTAAATCTAGTAGTGAACACTGTTCAGTGACTATCACTGATATTCTTTTTGAAGGAAATTCACCCCAAAAAGTCTTGTTATATCAAGGAAAGTGACTTTTGAATTGACTCCTGTATTTTAACTATATCCAGTTATTTTTTTTAGAGGAAATTTACTCTACAGATTTTTTTGCGTTTTTTAAACTTTTAATATTTGCACCAATAACACCATCTTTAAATTGTGTTATTTGTTGAATATTCGTCAATTACAAAGGACAAGATGCTTAAAACAGGGGAAAAAAACGATTTTCTGTTTTGATTTTGAAATGCGTTAAGTGTATTCCCCAAAATGTCTTGAATATCCTATATATAGAATTTCAGTTCACATGTTACAACAGGAAAGGAGAAAACAAATGGCTGGACCAGAAATTAAACCGCATCACTAGTCAGGTGCTCAGCCTCTTCCGACTGAGCTAACCCGGCCGATATTTATGACCCAAACCATTGCATACTAGGAGTGATCAAAAATTTCGCGAACTAATTGAATAACTTCTATAAACAAAACACTATTTGGTTTCAATATTGATTATTTTAAATTTATCTTCTCCGATATTAATGCAAATCAACTAACCTTCTGCGCCTGCGCAAATCATACGATATTGGCGGTCACGTGAACCTCCCCTCCCCTCGTAGCGTTCTGTTAAAAAAGTTGAAGGATTTTTCTGAGTTTTATAATTCTATCCATGTGAGTTAATTTTTTTGACAAGAAAAGTTCATTTGTCAGAGACAGTCAAATCTCCTCAATAGAACAGGTGGATAAGAATATCCGTTAAAAAAATAGCAATGCGACAATTTAAACGCGAATCCTCTGTCTCGGGAGAGACCTTTATTCAAGGTGGATAGAGAATGGGTGATCCTTTTTCTTATATCTCATATGTTTAAAATCTAATGTAAACGAATTCTGAAGTATTTTATAATTACATTATTGTTCAAATATTCAACTATTTTTCAAAGTGTGAATAATGGGTTTGGGATAGTAAGTTGCTTAATTAAAAACGCATAACTTTTCAAACTTGATTTCACTGGGCAAGATGACAAGTATCATTTTTAACTACCTTCCTTCCTTCACTTATCTTAATAAAATTTGTGCAAAATATTATATGATACTGGAGAGGGGTTTCTAAGATAAACAATACATTGTACATTTGTTTGTTAAACGAGTTCAACTGAGACAACCATTTTTGGTCACACGTGAACACCTACATAGTGACGTCATTTTCAGATTGTGACTTCACAAAAAGCAATAAATATCTTATTAAACATTTGCCATTTAAAGACCCTGTGTATGGTTATGTGTGTACGGAATTCCATTCTCATATGAATTGTGGTTTTGTAGATATAGAGATAGTTCGCGAACTTTTTGATCACCCCTCGTATGCATAGAATACAGTGGACCCTTATTTATCCGGACGCTTTGGTTCCACGTCAATGAAGCATCCGAATATCTGAATCACCAGTTAAACAAGAAAGAATACCATTTAAAAATTTCGTTCCGATGAAAAATCGTCCGGATACTGAAGCATCCGGATATCTGAAGGTCCACTGTACATATCTATATGACTTGCATAGTTTTCACCCCCTACATGTAAATTGCCAATATGTTATACTTATTAAATTTGGCATGGAACAATTTAAACAATGACTTTACCAGTGGCATTGGTTTACTGATAGTAAGATTTGGTCTGCTATCCAACATCAAATCTGCATTTCAACTGGTTCAGTTTAGCATTTTTGTTTCAAGCTATCCAACAAGCCTCCTTGGCTTCAAACACAATAAACAGAGACCAACATCTCTTTTTATTTAAAGTGGTCAGTGGTCATCAATAGGTAGAGTGTTAAAGGTGCTAAGACAATTCACTACATAGATTGGTCCCATACCAGTACTCTAACCCCACTTTTATATTATGACTTGTGCGGCCCAAGTCATAATATAAAAGCAGGTGTTAAAGTCAGAGGAATCTCGGATTAGCAGTATTACAAAAACAACAGATTGATACGGATTGTATGCCATGTAAATATTTAGACTTACCAAGATTGACGTTTGAGTTGATATCAATAGTGATCAGAGGCCTCTCTATCGCATTCCTTTCCCGTGGGAAAAGTGTCGGTAATTTACCAAATCCACAATCGGTGCTGTTCTATCAATCACATTTAGGTCCAATATACAAAATTAAGTACCAAGTCATCAACGCTTTCAAACTTGGAAAAATGCAAACGATTGGCTTTATCACTGTGACTGTAAGTATATAAACTAGTCTGCAAGTTCCTTAACTCAACAACTCTTTGTCCTTTGTTCGATTTGATGTCATTATGATTTACACCAGCTGTATCGTTTGCTTTGGAATAAGAGTGCAAGTCGTATGCGATATACGAACATTTCATTTCACTCAAAAAATTAAATTATTGTTCTGTTTCTATAGAAACGTTATATTTTTTATTCCCTCTTAATTTCTTGATCTACCTTTACGGCTGAATTTTCCTACCAACAACAATTGTCGTGAACTTTTCTCAGTGCATGTTGTTAACTACTGCAGTCCGCCATATTGGAATATTAGCATTTCTGGAATAAGCGATCCGAAAAAATTAATTTAGAATTTACATGCAATGTCACGTGATAGCTATCCGTAGCTTCGTTAACTTAAAAAAAACAAAAAAAACCCCAGGAATTTAGGAAGGGTACATGATATGTGAAAAAATTTAATGCACAAACATATTGTATTAGTTTAACGAATCGGCATTCGATATCGCGGGATTTTTTACATCGTGTTTTCCAGAGGCATTAAGCCTTTTTGTATGTAAACGCATTCAAAATGCTAAAACATTAATCTGGAATTTCAACTCTGAAGATTTTAATTTTTCCGGGCATGTTCAATTCGTAAAAAAAATCAACGCGTAATTATTCAAATCACCTTATTTCATCCAAAATTCGTAAAAAGAAATGCAGCAGTAAAGATAAACCATGATACAGTATAAGCTGATTACTTATTTTGAATTAAAGTGCAAACAAAATTCTAGATACGTTGTTCCGAGGTATAGACATGTTATTATTTTTAATGTTAATATAATATTTTAAGATTGGAGCAATTAAATTTACGGTAACATGAACGTGTAGATACAAATTATTTCTCTTGTTTTCTTCTGGCATAAGATGTGGCTATATATATGGTCTAGGATAAAATTGATTTTTTTAGGTGAAGAACGTGTCCTTAATATTAAGAACAAAATTAAGTGCTTAATCTTAACACTTTAAACACAGTCAAATTTTTTGATATAAGTTTATCTTTTTCTGATTATCATGGATCTTACTGTGACGCAATTTTTTTCAGGGTTGCAAGCTTTATATTTTAATCTTTACTGTGTCGGGGAAAACTTTTCTATGTTGACCAACGGGACCGACATAGTTAAAAAAAATCACATATAACTTGCTAAGACTTATTGAAAAAAATTATTTATAGCAGACAAAGGTTCTTTGAGTGTTGCATTTGCAAAACATGTCTTCTACCGGCATCCCCTATTCTCACAAGGATGTCATTTTATATCATCTTGTATGAAAGAGGTACCCAAAAATGGAAATATTTCGGTAGTTACTTCTTCATTAATGAAATATGACAAAACAATTTCCGAGCAGCTAATTTCAAAAGGTTAAGAAACGATTTTATACTAGTATTTAAATAACTCAGACAAGATAAATGTTTTGACACTTAGTTAGAATCATATAATTTTGGCTGAAGACTGCCTCCAACAAAGTTAGAATTCCTCCCATTCAATTGCAATATAGCAAAAAATGCAGAATGAGGTTGCCCCGAAACGATTTATTAAAAACAGAAGTATTTGCTTTCAAAATAACAACCACATTATCAATTCAAACTAAATTTTTTTTAGATCGTTTACTTTTACCGTTTTTTTAATCCACAAAAGGACGAAATTTTAACTTACTTTCTTTCGACTCAACTTTTTTTTTCTCGATTCCTATTTACAAACTATGCTGACATTAAACCTAGCAATGTGTAAGAGTTACCTCTCGTTGATTTCCTTTCCTATATTGCGCCAATGCTTATACATAGAACGCATTTTAACGTTACCCGGTCCCATTAGGTTATGATTTTAATAATAGTCAATCGAGTGTGTCACTATAAAGCTACCCAGCTACCTTTAAATGAATAAATTTTACCTTGACAATTTTGTATGGATCATTTTTTTAGCGAAACACGAACCCGATTTTAAACCCCATTATGAAAAATTAAATATGCCTTAATTCTGTCAAAAATCGAAGAAGCGAAACGACATTCAAACTTGATCTGTAACTCATCAAGAAACACTCCAAAATTTAGCTCAATATATTCAAGCGTTTAGAAAAAAGTGCGGAAACCCAAGTGGGACAGACTGACTGATATACCTTGGGACTTAGAAACAGGCGGACGGACAGATTCAGGGAAAATCTGTAGCTCCCTCCGGTTTCACTGGGACTAATTATCGACCAATAGAACTAAAACAAATTCACTGCATGCTACGTTTCATTTACTTTCAATGAATCGTTTGTAAGGAAATATACTTTACATCTTTAATCCCCTAACGGTGAAACCATATGGGACGATAGGTTTCCTCTGAGTCTCTCCGTCCGGGGCACTTTTTCTTGTACAAGATATTAACGAAATGTCATCCTATAGAGAAAAGGGGATCCGGTAGATGACACGTATTCCTTAAGCAATAATCTTAGAATGCGCGGAACAGTTAAAGTGACAAGTGGAAAAACTGGCGATTTCTTAAGATAAAAAAATGTATATTTTACAAAGATGGTGGAATTCATTTCAAGGCTTTTTTTGATATCAGAAATATATATATATATAATGTGGTTGAAATCTACACTTTACATTTGAAGCTTAGAGATCATCTATAATTTCTTATATTTCAAGGGCATAAAAGGTTAAAAATCTTAATTTAAATACTTTGTAACACTATAAGTGTTATGCGAAAAGTACTGCGAATCAATTCACATTCCAATATTCTATGGCTAAAATTAAAATTATGACGGGTTCAAAATTTTGTTGGCCAACTACATTTAAATAAAGATACAAATAGGGCGGAGCTCGTTAAAAATCAACGAGATCTTCCGTCCGATTTACGATCTTGAAAGAACTTTATTCGGTAGTAACTAACATTTGCCATTATGTTCATAAACAGGGGGTATATGCTGACTTCAAAACACTGAATATTTTCAAGTTATGACGTCATATGTACGAAATGACGTCACAAACATGGCGTGAATTTCAGTTTTTTTTTATAAATTCTACAGGAAAATGTACATATTTCGTTGATATTTTGAGTAAAAGTTATCAAGCGCATGTCTGTTCAGGCTCAATGTTTTGATATAATGTATAGAATGATAATATCAATGAAATATATAAATATTGTTCCTGAACTTGTGCTCTATAAATCTTAAAGCTAAAATTTTTGAAATTTGTCCATTTTGTCCTCTTTCTGAAAAAGGATTATAAAATCATACTAGTTTGTGACGTCTTAAAAACAACAAATGTAAATAAGCTACTTTGAAATAATAATATGTTCTGTTAATTTATTTTTCTCATACAATTTAATGAATTCAGCACATTTCAGGAAGTTTTCAAAATTTTACTTTTGTGTGGGCAAATATATGCAATATAGTGCATATAGTTATTTATATTTCTACTAAAAAAATGGAAGAACATGTAAAGATAAATAAAATCAGTGCTCTGATTACTCAAATTATGCTAAGAAAAGTACGCGGGTATGTTAAGGAAGCATTTAAATCATTTTTCGGAAAATTTAGACTTTTTAAAAAAAAATAAGTTTTATAATTTACCAAAACAGCTGATAAACGCTAACTATTATAATTTAGTGCACAATTTTATTTTGAGGACAGAATAATTTTGTGTGACATTATTGTAAACTTTCTCATTATAAATTTTGTCCCACCACCTTTCTGTAGCCTAGACTCTACTGCAAACTTTTTTTTTATTCTATAGAGAAAATATTAAAAAACCAAATTTTAATTCTGGACCTGATTCGTTCCAAAAGCTACCGTGACATCATTTTACTCAGCAAAATAGTTTACACCTTTCTGAAACTCTTTTGCTTGCTTTTTGTCCCACCAAAAAAAATCAACTACAACAACAACAACAATAAAATGTCTGAATTTCTTTTTGATTTTTTTTTTAATTTACTGACAATTTCGTTAAAATTGATTGGTACGCAAACTCCTGTGGTTTTTCATTGGAAAATGTTGAAATCTCTGATTAATAAACACGAAGTCTAATACAAACACCCGCACAAGAAGTTTTTCAAGTAGACTTTCTATACTTTTAAAACTACATTTATTATAATACCTCCAAATATTACTTAATATGAACATTAGATAAATATACAAGTACAGCCGTGTCATCATAATGCAATAAAAGGCTTGAATAACGAAATGATGTTTAAGAAGGAAACAAACTACTTAAAAAAAACAGATTGAAATTGTTGTTGATGAGTAAAAAATATTCAAGGTTAATAAATGGTCATTAAATATGAAAAATAAAATAATACAGTATGAAAGAACTCGGAAAAAGTTTTAATCAAAAATCAATTGCAAGGTTTGTATGAATTACATAAAATTAGTATCAAGCTAATACATGTTTCAGCTAGCTTAGATTCTTTAAGAAAGTGTAAGATTGATTTGTTAGTAAAAATGATAAAAAATGATTTATAACAAGAATGGGAAAACATATATTCTTTCTCTGGCAGCAGTGAACTCAACAGATTTGGATGTCATCGGTATACAAAGGCAAGAGAAGAACAAAGGAAATGGTGAGACTACTTACATTGACACTGGTGTTGTTCCCATCCGTAATTATACAGCGCGCCAATTTTACGCTGGAAATCATAAAATTTTGATTAGTTTCTATTCCTGTCTTTCATTAGTTTATACATTTTTCCAATCCAGAAAAATGTTTATTTGATTTGTAAATTCTATTATTAGCTGACTTCATACTTATACATATTGCATAACATAACGCTTTATCTGGCATGGATCACCTGGTATAAAAGCTAATATTGATCTTTAACAAACGTATCGATCAAAAAATGAATTGTTCTTACACCTTCCTGTTTGAAGAAACTGCAAATATACATGAACCATTCTCAATAGTGAAAATGACACAAGAAAAATGGAACAGTGGTACAAAAGAGTATTTTCACAGACAGTTTACTCATTATCAGATTAATAGATAACGTAACTGTCTAATACAATTACGCAATTGAGTTAATTAAATTACACGTACAACTCCTACAAAAATACAATATTGCAAATTGCTTATTTTCAGAAAAAAACTATTATGATAGAAAATGTCCAACAAACATTAAAATATTCAAATACGTGTTACTATACATAGAAATCCAATTAAACGAAACACGCATGTTAAAACCGATGACGATGTGGTGACTTGGTGTTTTTGCATGATGTACATAGAAAATATATTAACTGGAATCAAATTATAAAAAAAATTAAACCTTATCTCAGAAAAACTGAACCATTACGCACAAAATATACAATAAAAACCCTGTAAATAATAATTGTAACTTGGAGTAATGCTTGATAAAAAAAATCCACGGGATTTATACATTAAAAAGTGCATCAACAAAAAATAGTATAAATTGATTTTAATGTCAGCCTTACAGCGATATTCATATTGCACAATGACAGATATGTTCAATTTACATTTTTTAAATACCATTTTCATTGAAATCTTCACATATTTAATTCATAATACTCACATTTTGATTCTTTAATTATGGTGGATTTTAAAGAAAATTGGGTTGAATACAAATCTTTGCATCACTAATTTTTTTTTCTTTTATATTTTTTCACCATTATTATTATTATTTGACAGTTCATAAAATTCAGTTTAAAAAGTCATTAAAAAGAAAATTATGAAAAAAAGATTTCGCCAACAGTTTAGGAAGACTAATTTCGTAAAACAAACACGATACAACTGGACAGTGGAATAATTTATAATGACTAAATATAGCACAATTGAAAATGATACATTGGGGGTTGGGAGTGGAGTATGAAAACTCGAACCTTAGCTTACTCAGTTAATAAATGAAAACCCTTTTTTGTTAAAAAAAGATTAAATAGAACAAATAAAACTATAATAATTGAAGTCATTGAATCTACAATTTCATTTCGAAAATTTGTTTTCAGATTTGGAGCTCCTTTTGGACTTTGTGTCCAGACAACTGTCTTTCGCGGACTTTCCTTTTGTTTCTACATATCTTGGTGAGCTTCAATTTGCAGAGACGACTTACATCGACGGGAATCCCTCTGAAACCTACTGCAAGCTTTTCCATGTGTGGCGATGTAAATATCCGCGCATAGACCGCAAAGCTAAATTAAAGGAAGTTTTCTCCTCCATGGAGAGACAGGATTTAATTGAGAAGATGGAAATGTTCTCTAAAGACATTTATTGTTATAAAGAAGCTTTAGTCAATCCAACAGAACAAGCTCAGTCTTCTGACTTTATCATAATGAGTCAAAATTTAGCCATGAGATCTAATCACGTCTTGCGGTTTCTTGGTTTGAAACAGAGTGATATAGATCAGATTAAGACGGATAATAGAACTACTCGAGAAAAAATACTGAGAGCTTTATCAAAAATCCAAAAAGACAGACCATCACTCACAAGACAGAGTATTTGCAATGCTCTTTATTATGCAGATCATTCAGACGTGATAGATATGCTTAACTCTGGCTGGAAGAGTGCAGGTCTGTACTATTCATTCTTCCAAGATTTTTGATGCATAAAATATATTGATATGTGTATAAACATACAAAACTAAATAAATATTCTTATCAACAAGACTAGAGATGTTACAAAACATTTAGAGCTTTTTAATGAACATGATTACAGGAAACGGGATAGTAGCTTTAAAAAAAAAAAATCTGAAGCACAATGAGTCCTTCTATTCATTCCATTTAGGCAATGCTGTAGAGTGGATAGAAATTACCAATGTGATAAGCAAAGGAACAAATATAGAATATTTAATTATAAGACGTAGAACCCAGAAAAATAATTAATATGTTTCGTAAGATTACTTAACGGGTAAAAGAAAACATAGATGTTTTTTAAGCGTTTTCATTTTGCATTCATTGCTTTCAGAGATGAAGTTAAAATTCTGGCAACATTTTTTGCTCTCTGAATTCTTTAAAACAATAACTGCTTACATTGAATTAATATCAGAACACATTGATTATTGCTTGGTCCAATTAAACTAAATATGTCCTAACTTTAAAGAAAGAAATTACTTATCACGCTCGTTTATGTATAAAAAATGAGCTGAGCTTCTTTTTTTTTTTATAAAATCAAACATTTTACATGTTTACGTTTAAGCTGCAAGGATTTCATAAAAAAATTCTTAAGATTACAAAATCATTTAAATTAATACTTTACTAATTCATATTTAATTAATTGGTTTCTTTATTTTAATGAAAGGGTGTGTGGACATTCAAATTTTTACCACTAAAAGTATTTAAATTCATTTTTTTATATAGTCTGAGAGCATTCTAATTTCTAAATTTGTCTTTTAACTTCGTTCTCTTTGAAGATTTTTTATGGGAAAATTACTAAATCACAACTATTTATTTGTGTTTGATATAATTAATGTATTTATCAATAACCTTTGTTTAATGGCAGGACCATTTTATGCATACATTGAATCTACCGCTTTACTCATGTCCTCCTATGCTAATCTTATTTTTTGAACCTTGCACTGATTTTCTGCTTAATTTCGATAGAAAATAATTGAAAACTTACATATTTTAGCTAAGAGTATTGCAAAGAAAGGCGATAAGAAAAGATGGATGCCGTTGGTTTTTGAAGATGTCACACACAGCGACACAACTCCCATCGAAGGTACTGATAAAATGTGTATTAAAGTTGATAAATATTGATAAAAATTGTAAAACAAGAGGCCCATGGGCCACATCGCTAACCTGAGTAACTTGGATGATGCAGATCTTTACCAGATTCCCCCTCTTGCTATACCTATCATGCCCAACAACCCCCTTCCTTTTTTTATTTCAAAACTTTAGAATCTACACTACCCAAGGATGCTCCCACATAAGTTTCAGCTTTCCTGGCCCAGTGGTTCTTGAGAAGAAGATTTTTAAAGATTTGTTCTATATATTTCTATGTAAAAATTGGATTCCCTATTGTGGCCCCGCCCTACCCCCGGGGGTCATGATATTAAGAATTTAATATCTACACTACCCAAGGATGCTTCCATATGAGTTTCAGCTTTTGAGGCCCAGTGGTTCTTGAGAAGAAGATTTTTAAAGATTTGTTCTATATATTTCTATTTAAAACTTGGATTCCTTGAGAAGAAGATTTTTAAATATGTGTTCTATATATTTCTATGTAAAAATTGGATTCCCTATCGTGGCCCCGCCCTACCCCCGGGGGTCATGATTTTAAGAATTTAATATCTACACTACCAAAGAATACTTCCACATAAGTTTCAGCTTTCCTGGTCCAGTGGTTTTTGAGAAGAAGATTTTTAAAGATTTGTTCTATATATTTCTATGTAAAACTTGGATTCCCTATTGTGGCCTCGCCCTACCCCCGGGGGTCATGATTTTTACAATTTAATATCTACACTACCCAAGGATGCTTCCACGTAAGTTTCAGCTCTCCTGGCCCAGTGGTTCTTGAGAAGAAGATTTTTTAGTGACCCCACCCTATTTTTTTTCTTTTCTTGATTATCTCCCCTTGTAAGGGGACTTGGCCCTTCATTTTAACAATTTAAACTCCCCTTTACCCAAGGATGATGGCCCAGTGGTTCTTGAGAAGAAGTCGAAAATGTGAAAAGTTTACAGACGGACGGACAGACAGACAGCTAGACGGACAGACGGACAGACGGACGGACGACGGACAAAATGTAATTAGAAAAGCTCACTTGAGCCTTCGGCTCAGGTGAGCTAAAAAGCAGAATCGTCTCTTTGGTTTTACACCTTTTTTTGACAATTCCATTAATATCAAGCAATTCATGGATCTTCAAAGGTAACACATTGCCTGTGATATTGTTATTTGAAGTGTGTGTCCAACAGGTGACGATATGTATAAAAAGTGTACACAGTTATATGTGCATAGTATCATGGACGATAAACACACGATTTGGCGTTACATCAATCATAAAATATAATTTACATGCCAATTTGTAGTCGTAATTTAGTTTTTTTTTTTTTTTTTTGTTTTTTTTTTTTTTTGTTTTGTTTTTTTTTTTTTTTTTTTTTTTTGTTTTAGAATAGTTTAATTATAAAAAATATGAAATGCCGCTATCCCAAAATAATGTTTTTTTATCATTTCATTTAGGGATAGAAGACATACAAGAAACAGACATAAGTAGTATATCAGAGGAGACGGACTATAGTGATCAAGAGTACGAGTCAGAGAAATTGTCGATACAAGATTTTGGTTCTGCTCTCCGTAAGTGTTTAATAAAAAAAATCCAAACATCAGGAGATTTAGAGTTCATATTTGTCAGAATGATATGAAATGTAAATTTTTAAACGTGTTTTTCCTTGGTTTATTAGTGAGCGTAAAATCAGCAGTTACCCTGTGTTAATTGTAAAGGAGACCGTTACAAATGTTCCCCAAAAACTAAATCAGTATTGTTTTTAGTCCCATTTCTTACAAACTTCATTACATTAAGCAATTCTTTTGTGTTATAAATCTTTATTTTGCTCATCGAAAAACACTACTAATATCACTTACTTACTTATCCTCTCCGTGCCCCTGAGGACGCATGAGGCCGTTTAACAAGGAACGCCACTTACGGCGGTCACTGGCAACATCTTGCTCTTTTTTCCAACTGTTCCAGCCCAGTTCTTCCCCTTTTCTCTCAACAGAGCGTCACAAGGTGTTCTTTGGCCGTCCTCTACATCTCTTTCCCTCAGGAGCCCATGTGAGAGCTGTTTTAATGTGAGAGTTCTCCTCCTTCGGAGGATGTGGCCTATCCATCTCCATCTTTTTCTTTTGATGGTGCCTGATTGATCTTGTTCTTTCATATAGTTGCTGGTTAGTTATCTTTTCAGGCCAGTGTATTTTAAGGATACTCCTAAGGCATTTTCAGTGGAATGTATCAAGCTTTTCATCATCTTTTTCTGTTCAGCGCAATACGGCAACACAGATAGAACGTTCGAACTGCAAATATAGTCTATTGAAAATTAGTAAGATTTCATGGTGCGTGCATGCCCATATCTTCTTGATATTTCACATGTTGCAGGTGATATTGACTGTTATTTCACAATTTCATACCAAAGAGCTTGTGTTTCGCAGGACATATAATTACAAAAAAAGACAAAAATAATTATTTTTCACTAAGTTTTAAGGGGGTTAGAATATAAACGGTTTATTTCCTATGTAGCTTGTAAAACGAGCTTTGCTTAGTTACAAAGTCAGGTGTAAATATATACACCCAACTTGAGCCGGGTGTAAATAAAACATGACGTTACAATGCATACATTCTCTTTGATAAAAACCAAAAATAACAATGTCACGATGCATTGTAGTAATTAGTTATCTAATTATTAGATTGAGACACACTCTGGTGTTTACAAAGAATTGTTATGGTAACAAAGGAAATCAATTCGTTATCCAGGTACAAACAAGGGTGTACGGGGATTTCATAATTAAGGTTCCAGATTTCACTGTAAGTTTGGTTCCAGCCATGGCTTCAATCTTTGAATCGCGGTATTTTATCAGAATTTGCTCCACATTGAACCATGAAAATGGTGATTTTTTTTGTCCTTGAGGTGTAAGCATAACGCAGCGAAATTTCCAAATTTCATTTTGTTTCGCTCTATGTCCATTTTATACGTTGTCATGCCATTGTTTAAAAATAAATAGTCTGAACGTATGATTTCTGATACATATTTATATCATACAAAATATGTATTATAAGGCTTTGGTTACCTAATGTATATTAATTGGTAAATCTACAAATCAAACCATTTTTGTGACGAAATATTTTGTTAGACTTACTTCAGTAAATTTGTAATTGTCTTGCACCCTATCGAATACCTCACCTGTAGGTATCCAATATGACTCAACTTATTTGATAGGTACAGGTAACTTTTAAATAAAAACAAAGGATGGGGCATATAAATAAACAGCGTTTTAAATGCAATAAAAAAAATGATATGAACAATGTTGAAACTTAGGGGCATAAGATGTATATACATGTATTGCACAAAATCCTATTGAAAATGGCATAAAAACATTCACAGTGAATAAAATGATTCTCATTCATTATTGTAGACGCACCCGTGGCTTCGATCATAAATTTTCTAAATTCAAAGTTCGTTGCTATAATAGACTTATAAATATCAGAATGATTGATCCACGGAACATGCATAAAATCCAAAGGACATAAAAGAAGAATTAGAAGAATATGTTTTCGATCTTAAAGATATCCGATCCTCAGCCAGGAAGGATAACTCCAGAAATTAATATTTAAATTGAAATGTATCAAAATGAAGCTTGAAAGTAAATTTTTTCATGCAACAATTTTCATTTTATTATTTTTTTTAAAGAATTTAAAGTCTTTGGAAATCTTACAAAATGTCATAAAAGGGGGTATTTTGTTTAACTAAAATAATTTGTTCTATTTAAAGGATATGTAATATAGGTAAGAAACAGTAAAATTATTCGTTTGTTCTTGGAGCATCACTTTCGTAGAGAAAAAAATATTTCATTGGAGGATCCTGACATACATGCATTGTAGATGCAAGTCTGTACAAATCGTGTCATTGGAAGATAGGATGGAACGACAATTTAAAGGAAATAAAATTGTAAAGATTTTAAAATTAAACCGTGCAATGCAGAACAAAATGAATCCGTAGACCCATCTGGGATAGAGGGAACAAGTTTTTTTACGAGGAGGTAACATGGAAATACACATGTATAGAAAGTTTCATAATGTTCTCAATTATGCATCTCTTGAAACAATGATAGGTAATCCCATAAAACTGCACCTTTTTCTAATTTTTCAACATCTTGTAAAGAACATACATTTCAAACTATAGAACAATGTTCAAGAAGTGATCTTGTAATAGTAATGTACAATTTATATAAAGTGTTTCTACTAATATTGTATTTCATCTTATTTAGGAAACCTAATCTTTGATAAACCTGTTTACCTCTATTGGCTATATGTCATACAAGCAGAATTTTTAGCGAGTATTTAATTTTGGAATTATTGCCGAGGGTGCTGAGATCATTAAAATAGAATATCGTTAAAAATTAATTGCGCTTCATTTGAAATAGCTTATTTAGTGAGCATTTTAAAATCGCTAAAACTACATTCTTCTATAAATTATAACCCATGTTTTAACGTCAAATCGCTAAATTTACATCTCGCTAAAATTTGCATTTATACATGTTCAGTATGTCAATCAAAAGTTATCGCCAAAGTTATTTTATTGATAAGATCAATCGAGAAGGTCTGGGTTAGAGAGTTAGAAATCAAAACATTCTACGAAATATCCTGTCACAGGTAATGTACCTGTGATATGGAAGCCCTATCTCTTCTATATCAAAAGTTATATGAAGACAAGGACAAAGTTAAAAAAAATCCAGAGAATCCTCTTAATCATCTTGTCACAAGTGATGTACATGTCAAATATGATAGCTATATATTTTTCTCAATCAAAAGGTATAAGGAAAAATGACAATTTTCAAAAGTAGGTCAACATTCATGGTCAAGATCAATTTTAACAATTTTTGGCATCTTCTCATTCAGAAGTTTTGAGCAAAGTTAAAGTTTTATGATAGACTTACAGACTGAAAGCCCGACAGACGGACATACGAATTAGATTTAATGTCTCTCCGCTTTCACGGAAGCGGAGGACTAAAATAATATAAAATGGTTCACCACCTATACACCAGTGGTGGATGCAGAGGAAAGTGCAATGTCTTTAATCCTCTCTTTGAAGTAACTTAAACTATATGCCTTGGGTTGATTGCAAACTCTTATGTAATTCACTAAAAAATAGTACATGTGTTACATGTACATGATACCCCTCATTGAATTTGCAAAATATGGGGGCAGATCAATAGAGACAACTGCAGATAGTCCTGATTTTTTCCTTATTATTACCTCAAACTTTTTCGTGAAAAGCTAACATTCAGATTTTTAGTTTATATTATCAACTTGATATTTTGAATGATCATTTCGAGAATGATCATCCGTTTCGTCAAACGTGATAACATTTTATATCTGGTTCTAATTAAATATGTTCTTTGCATGTACATGTTCAAGAAGTTTAAATTGACAAATAAGCTGTTACAGTGTGGACAAAAAAACCAAACCAAACAATAAATATTCTACACGTAATGCATTTAAAATCAAAACATTTTTTTCTCTGTTTTAAGCATTTTGCGTTCAGGTATTGACAAAATCAAACAAAATAAAAAACAGAATTTTAAATGATATTTATTAGAAAGAAGGTGAAAATGCAGCATATTTCTAGTATGTAGACGATCTAGCATCAAAACAAAACTTATTTGAAAACATTTAGATTGAATATTGACAATACATTTTTACATTTATCGATAGTAAACGTTTATTTGCGGGGTAAATATCCATCAAAGACAATAACTGATACAGAAGTTTTGACTTAAAACATCTTAAAGATACATGTCCATGTAGCAAAAATCTACGGGGTAACTTTCCTCTCAAAAATGACATTGGTAAAGTTTATATACGGTAAATTAAAAGCTTATGCAAAATTCTTAATTCTTGATGATAGCAGACTTTAAGTGCTTAACCCCCCCCCCCCCCCCCACCAATTTTACTAGATACAGTATTTATGACTACAATGTAGCAACAAATTTAGATAGCAAAAGTCTTAAGAGTAAATTTCTTCTTAAGTATAATATTGATGCAGTTTATACTGTAAACCTATAGAAGCACGGATATATTGTTTGAACATTTTATTTTTAGTTATTCGCAGTGAAAGTAAAATGATAAAAAGGTTCATTAAATCAGAATGTATGTTATAAGTGACTCAAATTCGGTGACTTTATAATTGGAAAAAAGACTTTCATTTTGTAAACTAATATTATCTTGTTAAAGCAAATTGGATTTTCTTGTTGTTCCAATGCACTATAATTTGGTAAATCATTTTGTAATGAAATTGATCCGAATATAACAAGTAAGCCCACCGATAGTAAGTAATAATATTTGAACAGAAATACATTGGAATTATTAAGAGTTTTGACTAAGAGCAATAAAACTTATAACACTGAAGTGAATAAGTAAAAAGCTTAGGGCTAGAACTCCTGTGGTGCAGAGATGTGGACTGTGTCCATAAATATTAGTAATGAGTATTTACCTGTATTTAAGGTCGGTGCCCTGTTGGGGTTCATAGGTCAACGGACAGAGCTACGGACAAAGCGTAGGTAAATAGTGATGGTAGGTTAGACGATGAAATGCATTTTCATATCCGGGACCATGGATACCTACTGAGCACAAAACACTCTGATTTGGTCAGAAAAGAGCATTCCCGGTCTTACTCTCAAATTATCACTTCTCTCTTCGTATTTTTTTTTTGTGGGGGGGAT